AGAGCGATTGCGTGGACGTTACAGGTGGCACAACGTGGAGTGAACTACTTAGCTCTTACAGGTCCTCCAATCACTACGTTACTAACGTGGCCAATAGGGCTGGACTTCCACAGCACCTTTTGACGACCTCGATCACTGTCAGTACTGTTTCTGATCCAATGCAGTTCGACAGTGGGAGGGACCGTTTGAAGGCACCGGTGGCTTCTAGTAAATTGTTTACTTGGTTTGGCATCCAGATTCAACGAATGTTGAGGACGCAGGCGGTCAAGGTAAAGCGGTTTCTTAACCACGAAGCCGGAATCAATTGCCTGTCGGATTGGTCCAGTTTTGTCATTAATGTATGAGAAGGGGAAGTGGGGTTGATCCTGCTCTTTTTTTCCTGATCCTCTGGACTGAGACCCAGGTTGCAAAGAAGGCCTCCTAAGTTGATTTTATACTATTACCTACCACAACCATAGCCGAGTGATCCTAGACTTCTTTTCCTCAGAGGTAAATTTTGGCAAGAAAGAGATAGTTATGCTGTGCTAAATAATCAAATACTTGCAAGTAGTAAAAATTATGTATTTATTGACGGTTTATTTTATTTAACACTGTATTTGGATAATATACAATGCCTCTAGTTCCCAAATTTTTCGCGCCTAGATGATGTCATTTAAGATACCACTTTGAAGCGGAAACTCGTAAATAGGATGGATAATTACTTCAGAAGCTGGACTGTTTACCCTTTCTTCATATGGTCTTTAGTTTCTTGAATGAGGATAGTTAATACTGCCCACAGAAGATTCTGAGCAATTAAATGTCATCCTAATCATTTGCTGAGCAGGAAATTTGGGTATTACTTTGAACACGGTGCTAGTATATGGCTAAACTATATGCTTTGGAAACCTGGAATTAATTACTACTCAAAATCTACAGGGAAATTGCGCCCTATCATGACTTCTGCATGCAGAGGTTTCGTTATATAAACGACTCAGAGCAAATATGGGCCAGGTACAGAACGCGAACGCCTCATTCATGAATGTTTCAGCCGTCGAGTTTTTCACGGTTTGATCAAATTTAAAAAAAAACTTGTGTGAAATCTAGGATAACAGCCAAATTTGATATGGATCTAGAGATTTTTGTTTAGTTCCGAGCGCTATTCGGTAACTTGTTCAGCGATCTAAGCAACCTGAAAAACTGAAGTTTAAGCCACGGTTTTTAACTTTGGTCTACTGTAGTTATATTTGTCAAGCACTGTGGAAAGGTTTACATGTAAAGTAAACTGGCAGCCAATACGAGGCCGCCTGTCTTTGGCTCCCCAAAGACTCATAGAGGGAAATTCAGAGGACCAGCAAGTATTTGAGGCCAACAACTCACGAAGCTAAGCAAGATAAAAACACAAATGCGTCTGACCCAATACAATTCTAGACTTTTCAATGCCATTCACACACATTGACGCACAAAAATGATTGCTACAATCATTAGTTACGCAAATTGCAAAACTGTAGAGAGGTTTCCTATTCGATTATAGGGGAATCTAGACTGACCCAACTTAAGATTGTATAGTGTTGTGCGGACTCATAATCAAGTGATTATACAGTTATTTTGTTTCTACCAGGTATACAATGCAACACATGAACCCATCAACGACGCAGGCCGTTATAACTGCATATTATTCATATATTAAACATAAAACCCATGTTAGGTTGAAACGGCTATGTCAATCACAGTTTTCATCATTTTCGCATTTTATTAGAGTAAGCTACAACGGGGCCTGGTTTAAAATAACCTTTCCAGTAGTTTACAAAAAGTTGAAAAGAGAGCAGACTCCTATTTCGGCCATATGGATTGGATGCGAGTTAATGGGCCCAGTCTCAGAGGTACGGAAGAGCAGTACTGAAACTCACCCAGCTTCAATAAAGTGATGTATTGCACTGTCCAGTTGTCCGAGACTAACTAGATGATTTCCCCACTCCTCCTCCAGACGGACGACATCACTGGGAAAGGTAGAACGAGCGAGATCAAGGGCACGTTGGTAAGCTCCCCCAGCTCTATAGCAGCGCATGGCCGCGTCCAACTGCTTCAGACGCTGGTACATATCACCGGCCTTCTCGTGTCGTCCAGCTTGAACCAGAGACTACAGTAGAGCAAACAGTTGGTGACGCCTAAATCAGCTTAGAATAAAGCTGTCGAGCAGTTTGGATTTCGTTGAAACGACTGTATACCTTAATTTAACTATGAACACAGCAATTGAGCAGCATAAAGTAAACTCAATCAAACTAGACCATCGACTCCGTGACAGAAAAGATCCCTTATCATCATATCTCAAACACACATGTGGTGGCAGTAGCAGTGTTGGACTTTTAAATCTACTGGAGATAATCTCGACTATGACTTCTTTATTCGAATGTATGTTGAAAGAAGGGGGTGTATTATGATTACAGCTCACCGCATTTGCATTTGGTACACTTGGATTCCTGTCACAGAGTAAAAAAAGAAAGAATAATTTGAAATTAAGAATCCTTATCATCACTAATTTCCCATTTTGTCTCAATTAGGCTGACTAAATAGGGGTTTGATACACAACGCAAGTACATAAAGAAGTAATCCGTTAGATCGAATAGAGGGACATTGTAGGTGAAATAGCAACATGCACATGTCTTCCCATTCAATATCTTTTGCAAAGTACGGATGCAATCCATTCAGATGAGGACATTACTTTGTCGACTAATAGTAGCTTTCTGACTACGGTAAGTTACTCTTTGCGAATCTCAGTAGTCAACACTTTTGGATGGCTTTGGTTAACCCATATAGACATATTCCAACTTTTGGGCAAGGTTCCAGTGCTTAGCGAACAAATCGGTTCAGATTCACATAGAGCTTTTGTTGGTTCGTGCCTCCACACCATTAATCAAGGATAGCGTAACATATTAAGCCCTGTCTGGCCAGTCATATTTATGCATACTTGAAATGCACTTTTGAATGTAAAATAACTTGCATTCTATTACACAAAAACACAAAAGCGCAGAAGTCGGAAGACTATAATATAATATGACTCGAAAACGTACGTGGGCAATCTGTTCGAGAACATCACGGTCCTCTGAGAGGGTAGCATCCGAAAGGGCAAGACTGGCTGCTTTGCCCGGAACGCGAGCTCGCAAGTACAGTGTGACGGCGGTGACGATATCGCCCATTTTTGCACGTAAGTCACCAAGCAGTTCATCTTGTCCACTGTCGGAAAGCCATTTCTGATATTCTTCGCGCAGTTTTTCAATGTCCAGCCAGCCTTTTGCTTCGGCAACCTAAAAAGTATTGACTATTGATGTGAGAAACCTAAGCTCAAAATATGCTCAGCATATGCTGGTCGTCCAATAGGCCTTTAAAGGTTCGGTTAATTGATGAACTCAAAATTTTAAAGGATACAAAAAACCGACTTGACTCGTAGAATTTACCTCAAGTGCCTCCTCGTATTTGCGAAGATTGGTGTACATTTTAATGGCTTCATCGATTGCATTATTCTCAAGATAGACCGATTCAGCTTCTTTTAATCTTCCGTCCAAGATCAGAATTCGTGCATGCATTTTGTATTCGTTATTTTTTGGATCCTTTTCTACCATTTTTCTTGTCGCTGAAATGTACAGAGCTTTGCTCACGTAACCAAGTGCCGCATAAGATCGTTCTGCCACCAAAAGGTTCCCAGATTTCAAGGATCTGTCAGCGAGCTTTTTCCACATACACTCTGTCTCCTCATTTAATTCCAATGAGTCCAAGAAACAAACAGCTCTTTCGAAATCTTCGTCATCCATGGCGGTCCCGAATTCAATTAAACCATTGTCCAGAGGATGGCGAATTATTGTCATACCCTCTGTCACTACTATATCTGTTCGTCCATTTTTGCGTTCAATATCAACAATATCTCCGCCTTTAAGGGGTATGGTTGAAATCCGATCAATTGCTTCTATATTATACCATATGCATATGTTGTCTTTGGCTTGTGCCACTACGACATCACTTTGCGGTACCCATTGGACGTAGGAGCAAAACGGCAACAATATAGATGCTTTGAACGTCTCACCATCCACCAAGAACAACTGATGTTTCTTGTCTCTGAATAGTAGACGCGATGCAGTCTCACTCAACTCAAGCCAGTCGATAATAATATCATGACAGTAATGACCAATGGTTACGCCACTAATCAAGTCCATCAGGTTGATTGTCTTAGGATCCAGAAGATAAGCGATCTTTTTGCAAGGTGGTGATTTGCTACATTTTCGAGCGTTGATCCTTATACTGAAAAGGTATGGGTTTAAGTGTTCGGTCCGAACGGATCCAAGAATTTCATTTGATCCGTATTCAATGACGAAAAGCTCTCCAGATCCAAAGATAACGCAGAAGTTCGGATTCGTAAATATAATATTGTTCTTTATTCCCTTCTGTTTCCAATCTACTTCGCTTAGGAGGTTATTTTGCATGTCGCCTAGCATAAGCGTGTCCGATGTGTGTGCAACGAGGTAATTATCATTGCCCATGATTTTCACGTCGTCAATTTCATATCCATAATTCGAGTGCAAGACAATTTTGTCATTCGTTTTTTTGTTGAGGACAATAACTTGGCTGGGTCCAACATAGTTCATTTCAAAAATGTTTTTGCAGATTTTCTTTTTCATACAACAGTCGAATTGATCGAGGCTTCCACAGATGTTTCCGATGGTAAGATTTGAGCCATCTCTTTTCCAACTCATTGCTGTAACAGTATAGTAATTTTTTATGACTTTTGGTGCTCCTTCTTCCCATATGCTTTTTCGGGGGCTCCATGTGAATATCCTTACTTTATTATAGCTACCAACAGCCACTGCTTGACCACTCGGGCTACATGCGGCTATTGTGAACTCTTTTTCTGAGACATCTTTTGAGTAGTCAAACTGCTGTTGAACTTTTCCATCTCGTCCGTAAATGAAAATGCGCCTATCACAACCAGCGGCGAAGATAGCAGATCCAGTCCAAGCCAATGCAAAAGGAGGAATAGAATGAGTTACTATTTTCCCTTGCGAGTCACCTGATCCTTCGTCGTCAAAAAAGTAACGTACTATTTTTCCGTCCGCATGGCCGGAAATAAATCCCTTTCCTGATAAATTCGAGGAGAGTGCAACGGTGTACGACGCCGCATTGTAAATTGTTGATGACTTGTTTGTCTTAGGATTAGCTGACCGCACTTTTCCATCAGCAAGTCCACAGATAATGGGCTGATCTGCGGGCCAGATGACGCAAGTAACAGGGCTTTGTTGGGGGAATTTGTTGCAGATCAATTTTTTCTCATCCCAGTTCTCACCAAGCTTATAAACAAATACGATATTATCAGACTGTGCTACAGCAAGTTTTGTAGAATTTGCAGAAAAAGCGAGGCCAGTGACGACGTAGCTTTTCTTTGGGGCTTTTGGGTCGCTTGGCTTCGTAGAAAATCTCTCCCTTCGTTCTCCTTGTTCATCGAAAAGTACAATAATGCGATCGCTTCCGCACACAGCAAGTTTTTTATTGTTCGGTGCCCATGCGATCGCGGCTATTTTTGCTTCTGCGCACTGCGGAGCTATTAGTGTTTTAGTGTGTCTCAGACGCATGTTATAAGTTATCGCACGGTTGCCAGTGTTTTGTTTTTACTTTCAAAAATGTACCAGCACAAATTAAACTATTAAACAAATGAGGTATAAACTTTTAATCAATTAATTTATATGTAAAATAATTAATATAATTTTTAGAAAAAGTGACAGTAACGAAATTTTGTTTGAATATGCAAATGGCGAGCAAGGTAGCTGCGTTGTGGTCCGTCGCTCGCTCCCTCCGGGGTGCAAGTTTGCCTGCATTTGCCACGCGTGCTTTTACATACCGTTCTAATGCTGCATTCGCAACTGCTTATAAGTCATTTTCTACTGAAGTTGACCGCAAAAGCCTCGAGGAACGGGTGCTGAATGTGTGCAAGTCCTACGATAAAATCAATCCTG